AAAAGTAGCCCCCATCCTCCAGAAGGAAGGACAGTGTCAGCATGAATTCAGAGATGATTTGAGGCTCTACAGCTGAGTGATGCACAAATAAGATACATTTTTGTTAATAGTTAAGGTACTTAATGCATTTTTAATATTTAACTCCTGAGTCTAGTGTCACTTTAAATTTCAAAGCTTGGGACTACACATAACTATCCCTCAGAGTCAGCATACTGCTTACCAGTGATAAGCAAACTGGCGCTGGGTTTGATTCCCATGGACGTCTGATGAATCCAGCCAGAAATCCAGTTTATAATTATTATACAGGATTTATATAGCGCCAACAGTTGGTGCAGCACTTTACAATATAAGGAAGACATTACAATCACAATACAATTCAAGACAAGATGGTAAGGAGGGCCCTGCCCATGAGGGCTTACAATGTAAAAGGGAGGGGCAAGTGATACATGAGGTTGAGAGCACATTCAAGTGAACCAAACCCAGGGCCACCTGTGCCCTAGCAACCAATCATGCTGTTTAACCTGCACTGTTACATGTTTCTAGGATGCTAGCATCTGGGCCGGACACCAACATGGGTTGCTGGGACAATGTGCAGCTCAACCACCAGTCCATCAATGGCACTGTGCGGGCCACCCTAGCTGTCAGACACACAGAAAGGTTCAGTGGGTGGGCACACTGGCCAAATTGTTTGGCAAACCGTGAACAGTTTGGGTTCAAGTTGAACTCATGCTTGACCCAAACCCGCAGCTCATTCCTACTGGTTACTTTTATTAATGCAGTAAATGGAATACCCATCAAATATCTGGTGGTCCTGCCACTTCCCATTAGTATGATGTGCTTACTGACAATGCTAATCACTGGAGTAAATCCATGTTAGTGTGGTCAGTTTGCATCCCTGCTTTCTCCAATAGGACCCACAGGATGCCATGTGTTGCTGCAGTCCTGTACTCTTCTGATAACATCACAGGCTGACATGTCCCCTTGCCAAGCTTGAGTGACAGCAGCTGATCTTCTTGTGGAGTCTCTGCCCTCAACTCTCAGTGCTTCAGAGGAAGATGAGCTATAGCGATCATGTGACTGCAGTAAAATAGATTTTGGAGAGTACATCATACGGTTTTGTTAACAGGGCACAACTAAGGAAGCTTTCAGTCCTGTCATTATGTCTTCATACAGTAATGTCTGTACATCTACTTTAAACTATCAAACATTACACTATTGATGCCCTATAAATTATGCAGCTTCTTTACAACTAATGCCAAAAATGCTTTGAGTAAGAAAGAATGCATGTCGTCTTAGGTGAAGCTCGGAAAAAAGTTTTGTCCAACTATTTTTCTTGTTTTTGGATAGAATAGAAAATGATTTGACCCTTGCTTGGTTTTTACCATTATTCAGGGCTCCGTGGATTTCGGCTGACTTGGGCAAAATTCAACCAGTGTGTGGCCCAGTTGGCACCCTTTTTAATTGACTTTTGTCAAAGAAGCCAGTCCGGAAATCAGCTGCAGTCACTGTTCAGGTATTCTGAAAGTGGCAAACCCACCCAAATGTTTACGTTGTACACCCCAACACTCCCCTGTGCATGAGCCCAAATACTAATTGTTTTCAAATAAAATGGAAGTTGGACTTGAATGTAGGCCCAGGTTTTCAGTGCAGCATTTGAGAACTGATTCTGAAAATACTTTAAGGAGTTTATTTATAAATGTTTTCATATGGCTTTCCCCTAAATCTCTCCCTGTGGAGAGTCATGTCTCAGTAATAAAGTAAAACTATACTGTACTGTACGAGGGGCACAAAAGGAGCTTTTAGTCGGGACTTACTTTAAATTTTAAATTAAGTACGGTACACGTTCACTGTAATGGTTAATCTTCTCCTTATCTCTAACACTTAACCTCACCTTGACCTAAAACCTTAACTGGTGCAATCTAACATCCCTTAAAGCTGGCCATACACCTTACAATTATCTGCAGATTTTCTGTGGTCAGATGGAAAAGGTGCAACAGATTCCTCCATCTACACTTAACTGTGTGGATGGAGTAATCTCCACCTGGGCCAATCTGTTGCACTTTTTCCATCTGACCACAGAAAATATGCAGATAATTGTAAGGTGTATGGGCACCTTTAAGGTCCCCACACACCTTACGATAATCGCGGGAAATCCTGCGATCGTACGATTATCGTAAGGTGTGTGGAAGCCGTGCGACCTCTACTACTGTAAGGTCGCATGACTTTAAACTTACGAACATGTTTGCAAACCCGCCGAGCATCGTACGATGTTCGGCCGGTGTGTAACAAGTTTGTAAGATAAAAGCCGTACGGGCCTGTGTGCGCAAGCGCACACTGCCCATTCGGCATTGCGGTCATCGGAAGCCCGCCCCTCAATGGGCGTGGCTTGCGATCATCACAAGTATGATCTGCCTATGCAAGATAGGCAGATCGTACGTTTTTTTAAGTACCTTACAACCTTGGTTGTAAGGTGTGTGCCCAGCCTTTGCTCCATCAGTACAGGTAGGGTATACGCCATTCAAGTCTATAGGATATTACTGCGCAAACACAGCAAGTCCAGTACTTGGTTTTCTATGGCTGGCAGAAAAGCAATGCCAAAAGCTGCCACTGTCTTGGTTAGTAAGTACCTGGGGGGAGGGGGGAACTGTTCAAATTAGGGTAATTTGCAGGGCTAGGGTGGGGTGTTGCTTTATGTATTAAGTGAACTTGTCCTTTAACCCCCTTATCCACTGCTCAACCTTATCCATAACACTTAAATGTTACCCCATAAAATCCTACACCCGATTGCTTTTTAAAGGGATGGTAAAGTCTGCTGCCTGTGGTAAAGCGGTCAAACATTAACTTAACCAAAGCCATAAACTAGTCCCTAACGCAAAACTAATGGCTATAGCAGAGAACTTACCTTATTCTGCCACTGCCAAGGACTGTTGATACACACAAATAATTATTGTATATAAAATTACCTTTTTAATTTTAGTAAAACAAATGATATAATATGAATTCTAGAGTGACAGTTCCCAGGGGAAAAAGCACTGACACTGTAGCCATTTAAGAACTGTTTAGACTGCTGAGATCCAATAAGCAAGCCGTGGGAGATCTTCAGAAATACATTAGCAGGCAATCATTTTTCACTTTTGTCTTTTCTCTTTGCCTTCTTGTGTTTGATATGTAATACCACCGCTGGTTAGTCTATTCCTTCTCTCTATGTTGAAATGTTAAAAAGGATTAAGAAGAATAATGACGTGAAATGATCGAGGTTCACAACGTTCTCTTGTCTTTTTCTATCCACATTACTGTGTCTTTATAATTCTAGGCTCTAAAGACCAGCAAAGTAGAAAAACAATGATGTGGCTTTTGAAAACTGAGGGCAAACTAAACAACTTAACAATTTTGTGGAAATCTCAATCAACTTTCACAAAAATGACTCAACAGGTCAAAGCAAGTTACCCCCAAAAGCTATAGTCATTTTATAGTTTTAAGAGAAATGGATGGTGACCAGTTATCTTAATCCAATATTTTTTTTCAAAAGCTGGATAAATGTGGTTGCAGTTGCCACAAAATTGCAGTGTTTGCGGCCATCAGTGGGGCCTACTGTGCTAATTAGCCTACAGGAGATGAGCCTGTTAAACCTAATTGCTAGACAGCCATATCTTGAATTGGGTTGTACAAGCCAACATAGACCACTTAGATTATGAAAGCATCAATACAAGTGGTCAAAGACATTTCATTTTAGGATAAGTACCTCCGGGAACTGGTTCTCTCTCCATCTCCTCAAATCTCTCAGTGACCCCAGTAGTACTTCTTGCAAAACTTTGTGTCTCTGCCACCTTTGACAAGTCTATGATGACCACAACTGCTACAGCAGTTTGACCAAAAATGGGACTTCTGTTGGGTCACCCTGCTGAAGTATCAAGCGATATAACTAGCAATCAACTTTTCAGCAAGCACGTAAAATTGAAATATCTGTTATGAGCAGAGTTGACCTTTATAATGAATGTGCACTCACATAAAACTTCATGCAGGTAACATTAGGGGTCATGACATAGCTTTCATTTCACTAGCTGCCACAGCAATTACTGAATTTACAAATGTCAGAGCAAAACCACAACCCCCAGTTATCAAAGTTCTGGGCTGTGGAGGGGTAGCAAAGCCTGTCAGCATTTCTTTGTAGGATGCAGATGGGAAGCATTCCTATGCTGCCAGTGCCGCAGGCATTTCTGGGGAAAGGGAGGCTCTCAGGTGCTCTGCAGGGTGCACAGTAAAACAAAGGGAACATCACTGCATCTTGTGGTCTACCGTATTCCTTCATACCTAAATAAAATTTGAATTGAGTATGATTTTTCAGGCCAGTGCATCCACTGCAAGCCATAGCCCAGCGACCAGTCGGTGATTAGTACGTGTCCAGGGTCAGGGGTCCTCTTCCTCTGCAGTCATTGGTTGCTAGGACCGCTGGGTGATCCTAACAACTAGTGACAAATGTCTTCTTGCCCCCAGCATTACAAACATCCTCCTGTAATGCTGGGGGCAGAAAGACATTTGTGTCCGTTCTCTCCTGCAGCTCCTGGTGTTGCCTGTCCTCCCCTGCAGCTCCACCTCTCCTCACCTCACTTCTCCAAATGTCAAGAAAATAAAAACTAAGCAGGAATGTGCAACATACTATGTGGGGGCAATAAGGCTTCATTCAGAGCATGTTCACACCAATAGCGTTCGTTAATCGCACGGCTCTCTGCGGTTAACGCACCATACCGCGCAATGCACCTACCGTTCGTTACAGTGCAGCAGGTGCATTCCATACACTACTTTTTCAGCCTCACTACAATGCGCGGTATTGCGGTACTGCAAATTGTGGCGCGGTCGATTTCATTGCGGACAGGAGGTACATTTGGGGTGCCATTCAACACACTGTAGGGCTGCAACCAACTAATCGATTAACCGATAATGAGAATAGTTTTTAACTATTCTCATTATCGATGAATTGGTTGGATCCCCTAGCTCTCTCCTCCATGCTGGGAGGAGGGCACAGCAAGCAGTGGGCGGGTGCAATAGCCAGCCTGCTATTGGCTATTGCACCCGCCCTCTACCTGCTGTATTTACATTCAGCTGCCGTCTGCGGAAGCTATTCAAGCGCCATGTGTTTACAATAAAAAAAATTATTTTTTTCATGATAAAAGGTGGGGAGAAAAAAATTATTTTCGGTTTTGGCCTGACAAATTCTGCTGCAGGAGGTGTGTTACAGTGCCATTTATTTCAATGGCACCCCAAGCGTGCCTCCCACCCACAGTGTGATCGCCCGCACTGGAATGCAGGGTACTGCGATGTCGTGTGTTCCAGTGTAGTGCGATTGCAAAAAATTGTGCAAGCAGTTTTATTCTGAAGTAAACTTTGTAACACTGCATTTGTGCACTTTCTTTTAAATTAAGGATGGTATTTAATTTTTTTATCCAATTTAATCGAAAAAATTAATTATGAAAATAATCATTAGTTGCAGCCCTAAAGGTGCCCACACACCTTGCGATTATTGGACGATAATCGTATGCGATCGACTTTTCGTCCGATAATCGCAAGGTGTTTGGGCAGTGTGCAACCGCAAATACTGTACAATTGTACGACTTAAGCATGACTTCAAGCATGTTCGAAAACGTTGGCCGATCGTACGATTATTGCAAGGTTAGTGGCGTTTCCGCACGTCAAAAATCGTACGATCTACACTGCTCATGCGCAAACGAAAATACATGCTGTTGATTACCGCAATTCATCCAGGTGCTTTTCTTTCATTACGGCTAATTGAACCTTGCGATAATCGGGGCATAATGGGGCCGCCGTACGACAATCGTATGACGGTTCGATCATCGGACAAAAAGTGTTGTCCGATAATCGTAAGGTGTGTGGCTACCTTAACACAATGTAACACATGGTTGTGGAATGCTGTGCGTTAATTGCACAGCATTCCACAACAGTCCTAAATCTCATGAAGCCCCTTGAGAAAATGAATTGCCCACACCTGCGTTAATGGGTAGTGATTTCGAAGAAGCAAGATTTGCAAATTTTTTAACTGAGGAAATATTTTTGTTGGCCTGCAGAAAATTGTATAATTTTCTAAATCCAAGCAATCCTAATTCATTGATTGTATGATTCTCTGCGGAATGACAAAGCTGTTCCTATATTTTCAGGCAATCTAAATAATTTGCTTCTTGCTGTTTAGCCTAATTACAGATCAATTAGCTCAACGCTCATAGAGTTTTGTGTGAATGATCGCTTTGTATAGACTACCGACCTTCTGCACAGATTAAATCATATAATAACATGGACGTAAGATGATGCCAATGAATAAAGCCTCCAGGTACAGAATATGCGCCTTTGTGCTATTGTTTGATAATCGTAGAACATGAAAAATTTTCATATTATGGAAAAACTAGCAAAAAGTTAAAATCCCACAAATTGATTTTTCTGGAGACGTCTGTCTGTTGGGATGATCCCTTTGCTTAAAAAAATGTGTTAGCGACAAACCAACGATGGACTCAGATTCACACATTCCTCCAGTCCTCTTTCATTTAGGTTGAAAATGGCAGTTATTGTACAGAATGGTGTCCCTGTGTTTGGCTGGTGGATGCACAATGAACAGGTTGGAACAAGCTTTGTGTACTCTGTCATTTCACAGCAAATTCCCAAATTCCAGACGTGGCAAAACATCACCCTTCCCCAGCACACAAAAACCCCCTTCAACAACAAAGAGAGCCCTCCCCCCTCGCCTACATGCCGCCAGGTGTGAATCACTCTCACACTAAAGTTTGGAATCTTCCGTGAGCCTATAGAACGCAGCATGGAAGCAGTGCCGAGGCATTGTTCTCAGGAATTATCCGCCCAGTGCCCGCTCATTCCCCGCTTTCACCAGGAATGTTAATAAGAAATCACTTAAGCCACTTTGCCGCAATGGGAGGGATGCATGGCACAAGTGCTGCTTAAAGTAGATGTAAACCCAATCACTAAAACATCATCTAAGCTTTAACATGTTCATGTCGTTTCAAGTCAAATCCTTTCATCCAAATTATACCTGGTGACCCTGCCATGAAGGTCATTGTTCAGACATTTCTTGTTATCGGGTGACAACGCTCTGTCCCTGTCTCTCAATTGTGCTCCTCCATTGTCACCCGCACACTACACATCACCATTTTAACACACTTTACCCAGTGTGTGTAAAGTGTGGCTGCAGAAGATCAGCAGCAATAAGATGCAACAGAGGATGAAAACAAGTAACACCATTCAGAATTGTGTTTAGAAACTGGTGGCTCATCTAGGATCAGAGGGACCATCAGAGGTCCTGCTGGAGGTATAACCTTGAAGGAAGGGAGGTTTGAAATGGTTTAGTGCATTGGGGTGCTATGCAAATTTAAGGTCAACGTATGTAGCATGCAAAGACATGCATTCATTCCTGTGTTCCTGCAATGCGCAGATGAAATTTGGCCCCCTAGGAATTAGCTTCAAGTCTTGCTCTCATCTCCTTATGTCTATGGGTAGTCTTACGCAAGACAAAGAACAATGTGCAAACTGGAGCAACAAAGAAGCCAAATGGAAATATTTTACATATCTGACAGCAGAACAGCAAATCACTGTTGGTCAGTTGGTCACTATGATGCACTATAATAAAAGTCTGTTTGTCTATGATACTCAATAAAACTATGCAATGACCAAAGCACTAAATCTACCTACAGATTTGAACGGTGGCCAGCCACACACAGACAATCCAGTCACTTAACAATCTTTCATATAAAGGATCAATCTATAAATCTGAACATTCCCATCGGACAAACATAGGGAGGAGCTCTGTTGCCTGGCTGTCTAGGGGAAAGGGGCTGGAATATCCAACACATTTGATCGACTATGGCACCAATAGGTTTTCCCCAAAGTATTTCTGGAAAGGTTTGGGGTTTCATACTAAGCTATAGAAATGTTCCTGATCACATCAGTTGGATTTGATCCTATGTCTCTAGGTGGACCATGTCTTGAAATGTTTCTTCGTAGCTGCTGCAAGTATCCAACTGGTCAGATGGGGCGAATACCTGTCTCCCCCACCACATGCAATGGTTGCTCCGTTGGGCTCATACATCTGATAGTGATGTACAAGTCAGTGGATGCAACCACTGGGTGAGACAGGGGAGCAGGTATTCACGCAGCAGCCTGGATGAAAAGCAAGGTGACTGTGTTTCTCGACGCAGTCCACCAGAAAGGAAAGTATATTTCCTCTTGTTTTTACAGGCATGCCTTTTTTGCTGTTTTGACCGGGTACTGGCTCAGTCACTACAAAGTGAACTCTAGTCAAAAGTTTTTTTTTCACTTTTGGATAAGTGGTAAATATTAAGACCTCTGTCAGGAGCTCAAGTAAAAAGTCCTTCAGGAGCACCAGACCAATGATCCAAGAGTCCAACACCATTGAGACTAGATTACAGTAGTCAAAAACAGTAACTGTGTAGCTAATTCAAGCCAAAGATTATCATGCTGCTTGAATTGGCTCCAAAATCACTGTTTTTGACTACTGTCAGCCTGTTTCCCTGATGAAGGGGAAGGAAGGAGGGGGATGCCAGAGTTCTTGAATCGCATTGGCTGTTCTACTACACCTTATAACAGGGGCGTCAAAGTAATATGGAATTCAGGAGCCAATCTTTCCAATCTAGGAGGCAGCAGGATTTCTTTTAGAAGCCAGCTCCATTGACAACAGCTAAAGAAAACTTCAAAAGTTGGGTGCCAGCTGTTATTTGTAAGGGGCATAGGTGACCTGGCTCCTGGGATTTGTCCAGCACTGCCTTATAATTAACTAACAATAATAAAATGTTTTGAACTCTTTGGTCACTGGTTCGGTACTTTCATTACCCTTCCTAGGGGTACCCTGTTTTTTAGATCAGCCACACCAGAGCCACAAACTTGACCATCTTCAGTTATGAGGTATTGAGAACGTAAATCAAGCACCTCTAACATACAATGCCCAGGTCTTTATTGGTGGCAGTAGTCTCACTATTTAAATGCATGATATTCTGTTCAAAAAATAAGACTTCTGAATCCAAGAATAATGAAAATGACTGTGGCCCCTAGGGACCTGTCTAGTTTGCCTGCACTGTAAATCCTTCAGGCATGAATCTTTAACAGGCAGAAAATACCGAGTAATTGGCAAGACGTCTACTAGCGGGAGTAGAAACCTGTACTGCAGGTGTCAGACACCCAAAAGCCTGGAGGAAGGGCTCAGGGCACTTTCCTGGTTATCTTCATGAGTTCCTTGGAGCTCAGTGTAGAAAATGTGTCCTGAGCTGGAGGGCCCAATATAGATAAGTGCTTGGTGCTGCACTTGCTTTGCATTTAAATGAACACAGGCTGTGTCAATGGATGCTGACTCTGCAATCCCCATTCAGGTCTACTGCTCACTCCAGTGGGGGCCCCCTGCTAATGTAAGTGTAAGAACATCAGGGGAGGCAACATCACCTTACTGTAGGCAATAAGAGAACTACAAGTCCCAGAATGCCCTGCCAGCCAAGCCTAAAGCAGATGAAACTGACCATTGCTGATGTGTGTCATAGACAGCTACACATTGTTATTTGAAAACACACTGCTATTATCTACATTGATGCAGAAATCCATGACTACATGCAAAGTACCTTTCCCAACACCATCCACTCAGAAGTCTTTGTTAACCTGATCTCAGATCAGCACGCTAAGTTGCTTCACTTTATGCGTTTACTCCTTGCATATCATTGTTAAATAAGCACCACAGTTCTTTAATCATGTCTGGTAAAAGCAAACGGCGCCACTTTACAAAGCAAAACCCAATTCTCAAGAGTTTCGCTAAAATGAGCCGTGGAAATGGTTTCTTAGAAGATGTGAATCACACAGCGCAGCAAAGATAAAAGGAATTTAAGATTTACTGTGTGGTTGATGGAGCAAAGAGATATTTACAACTATCACAAGCATGTTCAGTCATGTGTCATACTATTCCCTCAAGTGCTGAGGGACTACAACTCCCAGCAAGGCCTACCAGATCTGCTAGAACTTGCTGTTTGTCAACTGGAACACTTCAAGTCCAACTATGATAGGTAGAATATTCCAGTTCTTGATTAAGGATGGCAGGTCTTTTTTTTCATCTTTATGGTTTCCAGTAATGAGATCCCCATCCCTGAGTTGAAGGCTACACCCAACTGACAGTGACTATGATGGGGTAGAAGGACTGAGATTTCTAGGCCTGAGTACTTAATTTAATACCTACAACAGGGAGACCTTGCATGATGGGTAAAATATTCCAGTTTTTGGTAAAAGTTTGCAGTTTTTTTCATCTTTATGGAATCCTATGATGAGACCTCCATCCCTGAGTTGAAGGCTACACCCAACTGACAGTGACTATGATGGAGTAGAACAGGGGCGCCCACAATTTTTCATCCAGAGATCTACTTCTCAAATGATGAGCTCAATGAGATCTACCAACGAAAAAACATTCAGGGGCGGGAGGTGGCGTGGCAGTGCATTGAAGTCAATGGCACCGCAGCCACGCCCCCCAGTGCAATCGCCGCACCAGGAATGCAGGCACATTAGTGCCTGTGTTCTGGTCCAGTGCGATCTGCAAAAATGCTGCATTTGTGCATATTTTTTCAGATCACACTTAACCGGAACGCAGGCATAAAAGTGCCTGCGTTCCGGGTGGGGGCGATCACACTGAGGGCGGGGTGCATGGCTGTGGTGCCATTGACTTCAATGTACCGCCATGCACGCTCCCGCCACTGAACGCAGGGAGCCAGCCGGCTTGCGTTCCAATGCGTTCTAGAAGCCGAACACTCTGGAACGCAGAATTTGTGGTGTGAACCGGCCCTCTCTTTACTGCTCTAGCTCTCTCCTCTCTCTCCCTTGTTTCTATCTGCTGTCTCTTCTCTCTCTCTGCTGTCTCTTCTCTTACTTTCTCTGCTGTGTCTCTCCTGTCTGTCTTTTCTTACCTCCACTGCAGCAGCTTCCCAAGTCTCTACTCCTCTCTCCTTCCCGTCTGTGGCGTCTGACACATTCAGCCGCACGAGCACCGCGGGAGGACAGGAAACAGGTCAGTGGGCCGATCGCGATCTACTGGTAGATCGAGATCGACCTAATGGGCACCCCTGGATTAGAAGGACTGAGATTTCAAGACCTGAGTACTTAATTTAAAACCTACAACAGGGAGACCTTGCATGATGGGATAAAATATTCTAGTTTTTGGTAAAGTGTGGCAGTTCTTTTCCATTTTTCTGGATTCCAATGATGAGACCTCCATCCTTGAGTTGAAGGCTACACCCAACTGACAGTGGTTATGATGGGGTCTCACCTTCCCAATCAGACTTTGCATTTATTTAAACGTTATGAACAATGCAGCAGAAGGATTGAGATTTCAAGATGTGGGAAGTTAATTCAATACCTACAGCAAAGAAACCTTGTATGATGGGTAGAATATTCTAGTTTTTGGTAAAGATTGGCATTGTTCTTTTTCATCTTGATGAATTTGATTGATGAGATCTCTATCCACGAGTTGAAGGCTACACCCAACTGACACTGATCATGAAAGGGTAGAAGGATTGAGATTTCAAGACGTGGGAAGTAAATTTGATACCTACAGCAGGGAGACCTAGTATGATGGGTAGTATATTCTAGTTTTTGGTAAAGGTTGGCATTGTTCTTTTTCATCTTTATGGATTTCAGTGATGAGATCTCCATCATCGAATTGAAGGCTTCACCCAACTGACACTGATCATGAAAGGGTAGAAGGATTGAGATTTCAAGACGTGAGAAGTTAATTCATTACCCACAGCAAGGAGACCTGGTATGATGGGTAGAATATTCCAGTTTTTGGTAAAGGTTGGCAAATTTGGTTAATCTTTATGGATTCCAGTAATTAGATCTCCATCCTTGAGTTGAAGGCTACACCCAACTGACACTGGTCATGATAGTATAGAAGGATTGAGATTTCAAGATGGGGAAACTTAATTCATTACCCACAGCAGGGAGACCTTTGCAAACTGAGTTTTACAATGTTCAGCATCTACCAAAGACTGAATTGCCAGTTTGGGATGCACTGGCCCTTTAAGCGGAATGATTTTTGGGCAATGCTTGCAATGGTAAGGGCTTACGAATGAAAGATAACGAGCACAAAATAGGATCAGAAATTTCTAGTGTTGGTTGCGCTCTACGCCTGGTTGAAAATCGGGGTCACTCAAAAGTGTCACAGAATTCAGGAAGAGGTGAATTAAGTCAGTGATGGCTCACGCAGTCACTAGAGTCAATCAATGATCAGTTATTGATTTCTGATTGATTGACTAATCAGTGATTGATTTTCATACATTATGGCAGATTTACATATTTCTAAATTCCGGAATCACAAATTGTATTCTATCTAATAAAATACATCTTACTGGAAGATTTGCTATGACCAATAGTGCATTAGGTGCACTCATCCAATCACAGCAGGGTTTCACTAAGTTGCTACGGGTTACCACACTTGCATTTCATCACTGCTCCTTGGCACTGCCCTAGTGAAATAATATGTTAACGTGTACGGAGAGGTTCAGAGAGATGCTAGGTTATTAGGACAACCTGCCAACACAGCTGGTACAAGCTAATCTAGGAGCAGAAGCCTGAGGACTATCACAAAAGACAAGATAATCAATAATGGATGGAAAGGAATGTGGTGATTAATATGGGTCTCATGGGGCAGCAATATCAGGGCTGCATGTGCGGAAAGTGGTAATAGCACTCTAAATACTAGTGTTGGCATCTGGGCACCATGACGATGCATTCCACTGGAAATGTATTTGCAGAATGTGACACAACTGTGCCAGCCTTATAAACACCCATGTAAAAAATAGATCAAATGTGGTGAAGACCACACCCCTCACCAACTTCACTTGCCCATGTACAATCCAATACTATGCAAGGCAATAATAAGCTCAAAAACATTCCAGCCCTTTCAAGATCTACAGTCAAGACATAAGCCACTCTTGTACATAAAGTTCCACAGCAGCAACACCACAAGATGCAGAAGGAAATCCCTTTCCATTCACATGATGCACCACTTAAATCTAAAGAATTCATAGGGACCTGCTGGGTACTCAAATGTCATTCCACTTAGTGGAGATAAATAAAAGGCTGGATGGATAAATGGATGGATGGATGGTTGGGTGGTTGGTTGGTTTGATGTATGGATGGAAGGTTGGTTGGTTTGATGGATGCATGAATGGATGTTTGGATGGATGGATGTACTAACAGAAGAACGAAAGAGAAGGAAAGAGAAAAACGGAATGGATAAACAGCAGTAAAAATCCAGGAGATGAAAGAGAGAGAAAACAGAAAAGTGATAGAAATATAGATAGACAAGTGATAGAGACATATCATAGATGAAAGAGACTGAAATAGAAAGGGATAGGTTAGACAGATAGAACAGGGAGATACAGTAGATGGAAAGGAGAGTGATGGGGCCAGAGAGAGCAGAAAGGAGTAGATAGAAATATAGATAGATGAAAGAAAGAAAGAATCAGAGACTAAAAAGGAGAGAATGTAGAAAAGAACAGATAGATAGATAGATAGATAGATAGATAGATAGATAGATAGATAGATAGATAGATAGATAGATAGATACTTTCAGCACTCTTATCCCATAAGAATAGCAAGTCCCGATCGTCTCCCATACACATAGATGAGCAGTCCCCGTGATAAAAGCTGACACTTGGTATCAGACATCGGCGGGCACTCCGCCTGGCACACTCTCTCACCTGGCAGCAGGGCTGTGATCAGCAGCAGGACATCCATGTGGGCAGCAGCGGTTCTCCTCCGGAGCGGCTCTGGTGGCAGTGAAGGTGATGAGCGGGGTGTCTGGGATGGGAGTGTCGGTGTGTGGAGGGGGTATGCTGTCTCCGGTGGGCGGTAGTCCGGGGGGGTGATATGGGGGGGATTAGCAGGTGTCCCGGGACTGGTCTTGTCTGATTATCCACCCGACGTGTCCCGGGTGTTGTCCTGGGCTCTGTATGCCTCCTGTCCCGGCTGTACTGGTGCAGAGCTGACTGGAGATCGCTGCTGCAGCCCCTGCCAGAGAATAAAAGGGACAGAGGGAGGGGGAGTCCTCCGGAGCACATAGACTGCCCCCTAATACATAATAGACCGCTCCCCGCACCCAGACCACACCACCCTGCTCCATATTCATCACACTGCACCCACCCACACCACTCTAATATTATTATTATAGATATAT